GTAGAACCTGTAGTTTAATTCAGGTTTCAGTTACCTTTCGTTCTGAAGCATTATGAGCATTTGTTATTATTGCTGTTGTTGCTGCTGTTATTCATCTGTTTTCATTCAGTGCCGTTCTGCAGTTTTGAATCTGCTTTTACGGGAATGAATAGGCGGCTGGTGAGATGATTAGAAGTATTGCTGTGTTCTGACATTATTTACGAGACATTGTTTAGGATATTTTTTGAATTGCTTTTCTTAGTTCTAACGCTCTTGCGCGAAGCTTTTAGTACGGATTAATGGTTCATTGTTATCATCATTATACTACCATATATACGACTATTTATTCATTTTTTCCTGATCTGTGTCAAGACTTAGTTCTCTTCTGTTCAAGACAACTTATGTTATTTTAACTGCGGAACTCAACTTTTTTTTTTCGTGGGTGTTCTTAAATTTCTTATAAGTTTTATTAATTTAATAATAATTTAGTGCTACTTACGTGCCTTTTAAAGTACAATTCGCCAACCCATTTCTCTGCCATTTTTTAGAGAGAGCAGTCAGTAGCGCTTAACAATCGTAAGAGTAGTGCTATGCTTGGAGAGCATTCAGAAGGTTGAGTATTTGGGAAATTGCCAAGGATTCACATACTTTTCAAGGAAAAGTCACTTCGCTAAAATCCTCGCTGAACTCTCCTCTTTTTTTCGTTGCTTTCTCTGACAGTTTCTTTGTCAGATTTCGCTTCACGCGATGGGCAATAAATGTGCAAAGCCTTACAATTTTTATATAACCCACCTTTTAGGTAACGTCATTTATAATATTATGTTGTTGATGCATTCTCGCTTAATTGCATGATTATATGGGAATCTTTTCTCAGTGAAGTATGTTAGGAGTTTTATTGCTTGTAGATTCGTGGGCTTTTAGGCTTCAGGATAATACTTGTCTGAGGTTGGTTTCTTTTTTCCCATTCTTAGATTTTTGTGTCATCTGCACAAAGGACAATAATTAGTTGGTGATTACTTACTACTGAGAGCACGTTTCTGTGGAATTTGGCTTCTTAGACTTGTCGTAATTTTTGTGTGTAAATGAACAGAAAAGTTTGCTGCTTGAAATGTGGGTTGTCGTAAGCGATTTTTGACTCAGCTTGCTAGTTCCTCTCAGATAGTTCCAATTGGCTTTTGAATTGCAATCTTATCTTTGAAAACGAATCATTGCAAGTGGTAGAATGTATGCTATGCTTGTCTCGAGAAGTCGTAATTACTAATATGTTTTATTTTTATATATATTTTGAGGTATTTTGTTTGGTGGACACATTGGTAACTTGACTAAATTAGTCAAAGCCAATTTCTTTATAATGTTTCCTATACTTTTATTTCCAGTTTTTAATGGTAGTTATGGGAAGTTAGACAAGGAGGAAAGAAGATCTAACGTGTTATCAGTTTTGCCATGGTTTGTGAAGGAAGCTCTCCGGTGTTTCATAGTTCGTTTTTTGTTTAGGCCTTATTTGATGGGCATCTTTAGTAAACCGCTAAAATATTTTTTTTAAATAGAAGGAACTTAGGGCTAACAGAAGACTTTTTTGGATTAAGATAAGTTTTTTTTATTATTAAAAAAGAAAAGGTTTGGTGACTTGATCTTCTTGAAGCATTTTAGTGCATTCAAGCTTTGCCTTTTTTAAATAGGTACACTTGCTTCACTTCTGGTGTAAAGGTTTATTTGAGCATCTATAGCGGTGACAAATCAGATGTTTTTCATCCATTTTGTAGAGAAATTGAAGGTAGAATTTTGAACAGCATCATTTCTTTTCTCTCAAGGAAGCCCAGTCCTTTTATCTTGTTTTGAATTTTTTTGTTGTTAAATGTGGAAAAAGCGCCTTTGCTGAACATCTTTAATGTGCTTTTGTTGTTTAATAATACAACAAAGTTTAGCTTTATTTGATGGGAAGCTATTATTGCCTGCGCGTTACTGTCGCAAATGTTTTTTGGTATGTAAGTATGAGAGGCTTGCTCCGGTTTAACTTTTTGTATTGACTTTTAGTGTGGGCGTTTTTAGCTATAGATCTGTTATTAATATTCTCTTGAAATTCGTGTTCTTTTTAAAGGCATAAACGTGTTATGTTATTCATAGTGCGAGTTTATTTACATTAGAAGTCAGTATTTCCTGCCAAAGTTTCAACAAATTTTTAAAATATTTTTCTTTCAGATATGTTGGACTTATTTGGTCCTAGACGTGTAACACTTTGCTAAGCATGGTGACTACTGAAAGTTAAATTTCTATTACCAGTGCATGTACGTGGAAGTCAAGCTAAAAAATTACATTTAATGCGGTTTGAAGATTTGAAACATAAATTGGAAAAAGAATCGTAAGATGCTGATACAAACGTTTCAAAAGCAACTTAATCTTAGTTTACTAGTTAGTGATGTGTAGTAAATAATACCTTTTTTTTTTTCCTGAACGTGGTGGACTTTGGCATGAATGTCCTAAAAAACAGATAGAGCAATTTCGATTGTTTTTTAAGCCTCTGTGTTGAGTTGCATTTTTTCCTTTCTCACTTTTTGTGGTGAAATGACGAAGCGATGTTATGTTTCTTTAATGTCAGTTTTACGTTTGCTTTTTATTTATACTTCATTCTTTTTTACGAAGGTGTATTTCCGTTGGTTAGTTTGTTCAACGTCGCTCACATACTTTATTACCTTTTTATTATCTGTTTTCAAAATAAATCTGGCAAGAATGAAGCGTGTTAGTAGTGGTCTTCGTCATTTATTCGTAAACTACTCTTATTGTGCAGTATCGTTTTGAGTTGCATTAAAAGAGTGTTCTGAATATACTTCTTAATATTTATTTTTTAGAGCAGTGTAAACTGAAGCATATTTTGGCTCTTTTTCCCCTGAAAGTTGACAAATCCGATTTGAGCCAATTAATCCGTTAAATATGTCAAAAAAACAGCAAGTACTGGTTATCGAGCCTCCGGAACTGGTGTTCAAAGGTGATTCTTTTGAGAAATGAACTTTACTTCTTTATCGCTGTTAAAAGTTTCCCTTGAAATTCTGTCACCATTGGTTTTCATCTTGGATTTTTAGGGCCATTTACGGAGGTTGTAACGTGTCCTCTTGATCTATTTAATCCTTCAAACCGCTCCGTAATTTTTAAGGTAGCCCTTTCAATTTGTCTTTCATCAGCTAACATTTTTGTCTGCCCTTTGATTTTTTTCCGATAGCGACTTTTTTTTTTAAAAGTGGGAGAATTCGCTTGAAGGTTAAAACGACGGTTCCGAAACGGTATTGTGTTCGTCCAAATTCTGGAATTATAAAGTCTAATGAAAAAAGTTCAGTTTCTATAATGCTTCAACCGAGTGATACCGCTAATGCTGAAGAAGAAAAAACTAAGCATAAGTTTATGGTCCAAAGCATGTACGTCCCTGAGGAAGAATATTCTTTAGGTAGATTTAGTTCATTTGTTCTAGTCTTTTACCAAATTTCAGTCTTATATTTAGTTCCATCAATTTTAGATACTATTTGGAAAACTACAGACCCATCTGAGATTATGGACACAAGATTGAAAGTTGTTTTTAAGCCTTCTGACGAAGCTCCACATCATGAAGAAGTACCGACGGAAGCTGTCCATCAAGAAGTATGATGCTGTTGGTTAAACTTTTTATTTTTTGTGGTTTCTTATTTTTTACTTCTTTGTTATACTCTATTTTCGAGTTAATTTTTTTGGTTTGAGTCAGTTTATGTGCTTAATTATTGTTGAGTTTAATGGTTAAATCGCGGTCCGTCATCAAAAAGTTTTCCACAGGGATTCTTCCGTATTTGTCGAGAAAGTTTTAATTCTGAACGAATTCTGTGAGACTCACTGTTTTGTAATTGATAAAAGTAAATGTGTCCTCTTCACGTTCCATAAAGATTTAAATTTAAGGAAAGTGGGACTGGAGCCGCCAGCGAACCGGTGAAGACTCCTGTGAATGAAGGTCGCGTGCGCGAAGAGAACGAAAAGTTGAAGGTATTGCTTACTGATTTTATTCCGCAAACTTCTTTTTGCCCCAGAAACGGTTTTCACTTTTATTTGTGTGAAAGGTTGGATAATTTGGATGATTTTAGCAGCAGATCTCTAGCCTGCAAAGTCTTCTTGAAAATTCTCGATCAGCTCAACAACCAGTTGAGATGGAATTCCCACTATTCCAGGTTTTTGTTGCTCATCTTTAATTTTATATTCTTTTCACCGAAAAAGAATGTTCTAATTTTTAACCGGGACTGAATTGCATTTTTTACGAATTTCTTTCTTTTAGGTCACACTGATTGCTCTCGCAGCTCTTTTAGTGGGACTTATATTTGGGAAGCTTTTCTGAAAGTGATTGGTTCTGTTGAGTTTCGCTACACAGATCTGGAAATGCCAATTTGGTTATCGATGTAATTTTCCAATTATGTTCCATTAATTATTTTTGCTCCACAATTCTTCACTGATTTCGAATGTAATATTTATTATCGAGAGCCCAAAGCACATTAAAAAAATCTTACAAATTTGACGCCATTAGCTGTACATCTTCCTATCCGTTCCGTTCTATCCGACTCGAAGTAGTTTTAAGGTGTTGTTGGAGTAATGAGTTTTTATTGGTGGCGCATTGTCATTTTAATAAATAGAAAGTTTCTTTATCTTTTTGCAGCTTGAGAATGGAGTAAATTTGTTTTTTTTAAAATCTTGTTATTGTTTGAAGCGGAAATTTTTCAGATGAGTGTTTCTAACTGCACGGGTTCTTTCACGATTCTCATTTGTTTACATTAAAGGGCATTTTGAGATAGGTGGTCCTACAAGGTGTTGAAACCGAGCTGTCCCATCTTTACGCTTGATAAACTTCTTAAAAGGTAACTCAGATGGGTATTTAAGCTTGCGTTTCCAGTATTTATTCAAGTTTATTTCTTGGCTAGCGCTTATTCGAAGTCCTGAGTTGAGGGGGTGACGAGTGTATTAGGTAACATTTGTTTTCGCCATTTAAGCTAAAATGATGAGGCTCGTTCGGATATTTGCAAAAAATTTTTTTTTTACTGACCGAGTTCCACACAGAAGAGATCCCCATTTTTGCGTTTGATAACCAGGGACAGTGGAATACAGTCGGTTTGATCCCTGTTTCACGGGTTTCCCGTCTAGATCTTCCCTAGTTACTGTATTTTAGTAGTGAAATAATTTTAGCGTCGGTACTTCGCTTATTAGCCGTGGCCATTTGGAAGTAAGATGACTACACATAATCCGGTGCTGGTTTTTGGTATTTAGTTTTGGGAGTGCTAGAAGAGGATAGTCATGATCGCATTGAGTGTATGTTACGGCTCTTGAAGTTCATAAGATTCTAAATGGCATGCTACATTGGCTGAATACTGCAGCTTCTGTTCAAAGGTGCGCAACTTTTTGGTTTCATAAACGAAATGCGTAGGAATTTCTGGTAATCGTTAATGGGGTTTTGGTTGAGAAGTATTTGGAACAATGATGAGCCCTGAAAATATCAGTCTGTTTCTGTCGTGACTTTGCATTATTCAGGAAACCGGTTTTTCATTTTTCTTTTTTATCTCCAGAGATTTCTTAGGCGTAAGGTTCAAAGGAACTGCCAATGAGAAAGGGGTGTATGCATTTATTTTGCCTTACTCTAGTTCCCAAGTTGTAGAACTGCAGTAAATACTAAAAACTAGTAGTTTGCAGAATCCCATACGACAACTTCCTCACCAGAATGCAGATTTAATGGAAAAATTTTTTTTCTTCATTTAGCTATGTTGTGCTTATCTAAAGTCTTAGAAGAATGTTTAGTAGCAAAGATTGCAGTTACTACACTTTCCAAGTGATTTTGGGCAGGGAATTTGTATAGTCCCTTTTATACAAACATCAAGATACTGAAGTTGCTAGAATGATACTCACTAGCGCTCAGTTTACCTACTGCATTTTGATGGGAACCTAAATCTGAGGGACACCGGAAGCGTGGTTTTGCACTTCCCAGTTTAGGGTGCTTCCCCTTCCATTGGGACATCTGAACGCTTTTTAAAACGAAGCTATAAAGGAGTACAGGAACCTGATACAGGGTGGTCGAAAGCTCAAGGTTCAGAGAGGGCCAACACACCAAACTGTAGGAGCATCAAACTTGTATTCCTAAGTCTCTCAGCTCCATCAGATTTTTTATAAGTAGACATTGTAGGGTGGTGTCAGGGAATGTCCAGGGATCGAAGTTTCCTAAACAGACCCAAAGCAGCCTGTCTTGTAGCACTCATCTAATAACAATACGGATTTATTCTTAAATTCATTAGCTCTGATTGCATCGGGGTCCGCAGTTGGCAATGTGCCAGTATTGCGTTACGTTTGAAAAAGTGGGCAATGCTTAGCTGAGGCTTATCTAATGCTCCGTAAGGGTCCT